GGGTTCCATCTTGGTTGGGGCCGGTACAGGAGGCAACCCGTCAGTGCTTCTCTCTCAAATCAATATTTTTCTGTCTGTCTCTCTCTCCTTTCCTCTCTCTCTAAAATAAGTAATCATTTCCTCAAGTGAGGATAAAAAAAGAGAGAGAGAGAAAAACCCATTAATGAATGTCGGAAACAACTCCCAAGACCGATCCAGATATTTTCAACCAATAAGGAGCCTTCATTTTATAAAGATTCTCAACATATGAACATGGGATCATCTCCTAACCTGCGAATTCACACTAATATCTTGAGATAGGCACATCCCCAAATCACATACCACATCTGAAGTTTTAACTGGAACAAATTCATACACCTCAGTGGAGGGGAAAGAGGCATCATTCTCAGACTACTCAACTTTCAGAGTTTTATCTAGTTTGAAGGATCCTGACAGTTTCGGATAACTAGATTCAGGTTCAATAAAATGAGATTAAGATATTGCTGAATTTGGAACTGGTATGCTCTGAGACAGTCTTTCTCTTCACACATTGAAGATAGTGCTACCTTTTTAAAGTACTTATTTTGGTTGATGCTGACTGTGCTTATCATCATTGCCTAGATATTGTGGACTTTGTGTCAAAAGGAATTTTAGGTATTACTAATAAGAAGCAAACTCTCGCCCCAGCTGGTTTGGCTCAGGGGATAGAGTGTTGGCCTTCGGACTTAAGGGTCCCAGGTTCCATTCCGGTCAGGGGCATGTAAATTGGTTTGGGGAATATCCCCACTAGGGGGTGTGGAAGAGGCAGCTGATTCATATTTCTCTCTCATCGATATTTCTAACTCTCTATCCCTCTCTGTGAAAAATCAATAAAATATATTTAAAAAAAAAAAAAGCAGACTCTAATCTTTAAATGTCAAAATGCATCCCCAAAGATGGTAAAATGGCAAAACCATGATTTGTACTTGAGGAACCTGCCAGCAGAGGGCAATATTAGTTTTCACACTTTTTTAATACCTAAACCATTAAGTATAAAATAGCTGTTTGGTAGAAATCTTGGGCTATTGGTTTTTTTTTTTTCCCCTCCAGGAAAACAAGACTAGTAACATAGTAGAAGCAAAGATAAGGCATAATGTTGATTAGTAAAATTCCAACATCTCTGGTAAGAAATAAGCTTATTTATTAAATTGCCATGAAAACTTGATATTTGCTTGTTGTAACATGGCTGGAGAGTTATCATCTCTTTATGTTTTTCCCTAGTTTCTAGCATGTAGAAGGTTGCCAATGACTCTTTGTTGAATGACTTATGAGTAAATAAATGCTGATCAAATATATACACACACGCTTGGGTTGGAGTAGAGGGTAGGGTAACATGCAATTCTCTCTCATGCCCCTTTATTTAAAATGTAATCATTTTGTGCACGTCTTCTCTGATTGTTTGAATAGCACCTTGCAAAGTTGTTTCTGTCATTCTGTAAAATTTAGGCCAACCTTAAATCAATGAGCTTAATCTTCATAGCTTCGCATTAGGAGAAAACAAATGCTATTGCTGAATTTTCCGTAGGAGAGTTCTGAGGTTTACTTAATATTGGCAAAGACATTTGGCTAGGCTGCATTTGTGAAGAGAAAGATTAGGAAAATTAAAATATGGTTGATCAGCCTCAGGCTGTCTGGGTGGCTTGGTTGGTTGGAGTCTCATCCTGTATACCATAAGGGTTACTACTGGTTCAATTCCTGGGTTGCAGGTTCAATCCCTGGCCTGAGTGCATTTGGGAGATAACTGATTAATGTTTCTCTCTCTCCCCTCCTCTCTCAAATCAATTGCATATGTATATATTTGATCAATTGCTGGTAAAAGTAAATGAGCCACTTGACAGAACTAAAGTCAGAAAGATAAACTAATTTATTTTAGGTTGAATTCAGTTGAGAGATTTAATACAAATTGTGAATCAAGTGTGTCTGCTGGCTATCTGTGCATCTTATCTTGTCAATTTTGGTGTACAGCTATTTTATTATTATTGTTTTGTTTCATACATAGGATGATAGCAGCAGTGTTGGTATTTGAATTAGTTGACATAATGCCCAATTTTTTTCAACATCTGTTAAATACGGTTTTAATTTTGTACTCTCAGTTTCAGCATATAGTTAAATATTTAGTATTAAGGAATGCCCTTTGGGGATGACTGAATTAGCTTTCTTGCTTTCAATAGTTCATTGTGCATTTGTGTTTAGAAAATCAACCTTATGGCACAAACTAGAGGCCCAGTGGGAGAAAGCCTTTTTCTGTGCACTCTTGACTTTTAGTTCTTTGGCCAACCTATAAGTCACAGCAAAAGGAATTTGTGGAGATGCTTTTAATGTAATACAGAAAATCCTCTGCGGAGAGACCTGGGATTAGCTGCAGTGTGAGTGAAAGGATTTTGCTGAAATCTGTGCATCAAATCTCAGCAAAGTTCTCCCACCAGAGTCACTTATAGTAGAACTTGCTTTGCCTTTGTTCATGTTCTTTCCTGGGTTAATACAGGTCAAGTTTCATAAGACAAATCACACACCTGATCTATCATCAAGAAGACATTCCTTGTAAGCAATTTTTCCAGGGAAGAATTTGGGTTTTTGCTGATTAGGCACATTCTTGGCCCACATTGACTAATGGCTGCAAGATATTAAGCTGGGCCGAAACCGGTTTGGCTCAGTGGTAGAGCACCAGTCAGTCTGTGGACTGAAAGGTCCCAGGTTCGATTCTGGTCAGGGGCATGTACGTTGGTTGCGGGCACATTCCTGGTAGTGGGTGTGCAAGAGGCAGCTGGTCAATGATTCTCTCTCATCGACGTTTCTAGCTCTCTATCTCTCTCCCTTCCTCTCTGTAAAAAATCAATAATATATATATTTTTAAAAAAGATATTAAGCTGGTATTGGGCTAGCGTTTGTCCCAAATATAATCAAAATGATACCCATGCTAATGAGTTTTGGGTTCCATTAGCAAGCTGTTCTGATTGCGTATGCCACTTGTAATTTTTTAGGGGTGTTTTTTTTTTTTGTTTTTTTTTTTTAACAATCTCTTCTACCCTTAGTGTTTCAGTAACTAATACTGTACTTTATAAGCCTTGCTTGAGTGGCAGTGATTTGCCATCTGGCAATGAGCAACAGCAGTCTTATTGCTTTAGGGTACATTTTCAATGTTTATTCATGTAATATATGCCTTTTGTCTGACTTCCAATAGGCCCAATAGAATTCCTTTCAGATGTTCTGTCTTTTAAGTGTAAGACATTATTCTGTTGGTAAAATACACTCATGCATTACCATGAATTCTTTTACTCCTTTTATTGAATGGATGACAAAAGACTAATAAATATTATTTGTATTTGATGCTGTCATATTCATGCCTCGTTAAAAATGGCTTCGGGGCTACTTTTGCTATATGTTTATCTTATAAATTACCTTTTTTTTTTTTTTTTACAATGTAGATTTATAACAAAGTTGTGAAGACAGAACAGAAAGTTCCTATTATACCCCACACCCTGTTTCTCCTATTGCTAACCTCTTTCATTGGTATATTACATTTGCTACAACTAGTAAACCAATAGTAACTAAATATTAACCTTCACCATACTTTATATTTGCTCTATTTTTACCAAATGCTCCTTTCTGTTCCAGAACCCAATCCAGGATACCAAATTGTACTTTAGGCTTCCCTGGACAATGACAATAAGTTTTGGGGGAATTCTTGGAAGGAAGACAACAGAGGCTATTCTAATCACATCATATCAATATGACTTATCATGTTAACCTTGGTCACCTGGTAGACTTACTGTTGGTCAGATCTCTCCTCTGGAAAGTTGTGTTGCTCTTTCTTTATTGTGTCTGGAAGACAAGACATTATGTGCAGCCTACTATTAAGAGGTCAATGTTTATCCTTCATCTCCTTGAGGTAGACGTATCTACATGTATTATTTGACATTCTGTTGCATTACAGAAGAATCCTTCACTTACTTATTCAATTACTTATTTACATCTTACAAATCTAAGGATATTTATTTTATATTTTGAGTTATAACTTAGTTTTTATGCTATTTTGTTGTTCAAATTGTTCCAGCTTTGAGCAATGAGTTTTTGTTTTTTGTTTTTTTTCAATTGGCTCCTATGTCCCTTTGACATATCCCACCGTTTTGTGAGTGTGTGTGTGTGTGTGTGTGTGTGTGTATAACTTTTACTTTGTTTTGTATTTCCTTATTTTATGGTTCTACACGATGCCCCAAGACCATCTTACATATTCCCTGTCCCAGCCTTAGAATTAGCCACTCTCCAAGGCACCCTGGTTCCTTTCATTGGAAATTGCCATCAGAAACAAAGATGTGAACATTAAGTGTGCTCATTGCTTCTAGTCTCTCTCAGCTGACGTAGCAATGAAATACATGTGTGTCTATTAACCTGCATATACATTGAGTGGCCAGATTATTATGATCTCTGAATACACTGAGTGGCCAGATTACGTATAGTAATCTGGCCACTCAGTGTATATCCTATATGATAAAAGGCTAATATGCAAATTGTTCCCTCGACCAGGAGTTCGACCAGTAGGCTGACCGGCCAACCACCCTTGTCCCCTCCCCCTAGCCAGGCTGGACAGACCCCACCCATGCACAAATTCATGCACCGGGCCTCTAATACACACACACACACACACACACACACACACACACACACTGAGTGGCCAGATTACTATACATTCAGAGATCATAATAATCTGGCCACTCAGTGTATATACATCTCCTATATACATATCCATCCATATCTGTAATAACTCAAAAGTGAATTCATTTTTTTTTTTTTTTTTGCATGTTCTTGCTCTTTACTTCTCAGAGTAGATAAGACGGATGTTGAGTTATCTGGGTTAAAAGAAAGGTGTGTGCTTGTGAACTTCTCCCAGCTTGGCTCCTATTATCTCCCGGTGGCATTTCTGTTGCAGGGCAACACCCAGTCCTCATGTCCTCGTATGCATTCAAACACTGGCATTTGTCTAGGATTTCTGGAGGCTGGGAAGTCCAAGATAAAGGTGCTGGCTGGCCAATTGGGTGCCTGGTGAGGAATCCCTTACTGGTTCCTATGACCTGACATGGTGAAGAGCTGGAAACTTGAGTTCTTTCTGATGTTTCCAAATCTAATCTCTCATCACAGTTTCATGTTAGCGTTCTTTCTGCTTAAAATTTTTCAAAATAAAATTGATTTTTAACTGAGTATAAAAAAATACTGAATGTAGACTGAAAATATTGTAAAAAGGTAAGATTGGTTTCCCTTATTTCTCAAAAAAACCCCTGGAATTATTATTATATTTTTATTGATGCGATTTAAATAGGATTATGGTATTTAAAAAAATAAAAGAAGAAAGCCAGAATCCAGTTTATTATTACTGAAGCCCTTTTGAACACTTTTTCCCTTTCGTTAACTAATACAAAAAATAAAAAATAAACAAACACATAGAAGGTTGTGACCAGCTGTAGTTCTTCCAAAAACAGATAAAAAAGGAAGGAGATTCAATGATATTAGAAGAACTATTAAAGGAAAATATTCCGATAAAGGGAGTTACTGAATGTTGGAATGTAAGATAAGAAGTGAGAAATTTTTTCTCTCTTGTTTAAAATTAGGGTAGATTCCCAGCTGTCTAAAATAGTAGGTGTTTTCTAATTTTCAAAGCTCTTTCCCTCTGTGAATTCTGGGACTCTTATCCAAAATCAAAGCCTTGGTCAAGGAAAATGCCTACTTTTAAGACATAGGTGAAAGGTTTTTGATTTTTTTTTTTACAGAGAGGAAGGGAAAGGGATAGAGAGCTAGAAATATCGATGAGAGAGAAACATTGACCAGCTGCCTCCTGCACACCCACTACTGAGGATGTGCCTGCAACCAAGGTACATGCCCTTGACTGGAATCGAACCTGGACCTTTCAGTCCACAGGCCAACGCTCTATCCACTGAGCCAAACCGGTTTCAGATATATATATATACAATATATATATATATATATATATATATATATATATATATTGATATTTAAAAATTTTGTAAGTTTCACATACAAAATTGTTTAAGCAATTATTTTGGGCCTTAACTTTTTCTTCGGACTATTGATTATCCTAGAAATACCATATTCAGGAGATTAGTGAAATTATTTTGTATGGTGGCAATAAAGTGTATTGTAAAGAGCCCATTTATCAAACTTGGGCAAATTGCTTGATATTCTGAGTTTAATTTGCTTGTCTCTGAAATGGTTATAGAAGTACTTATCTGACAAGGTTACTGCAAATATGAAATGTAATGAACACGAGCTCACTTATGTGTTAAGGTACTCATTAGATGGCAGTTGTTATTATTACTGCTATCATTATTATTAATAATTATGTATTCAGCAACTCATTAAAGAAATGTTATTGAATTCCTTAACATTTCTTAACATGGGTGTTGGGCACCATGTGTTCATAGAAATGACTCAGACTTAGCCTTTATTCTCAAGGAATTTATGACATCATGGGAAAAAATATAAAATTGGTTTAAATTGGTAAGGGAAGGAGAAAACTCAGAAATAGGCTTAGGGGCAAAAAAAGGCTCATTCAAGGCCAGAGAATGCTTCATGGGTAATTCACAAAACAAAAGAACCAACACTGTAGTATTATTTGTTTTTCCTGAAAAGGCCAGTATAGTATATGTATCATATTAATGGTGACAATTTTTTTCATTATGACAATGTTAAATTTAATGTAAAATAATAAAGAAAATGTGGACTAGAGGCAAATGAGAATAAGGATGAGCTATGAGACTGAAGACAGATGACCTAATTTGTTGGTATGAATTTTATCTTCAATCTCCTTTTCTGTAAAATGCAAATCATTCTATTAACACCTCATAGCTTTGGAATAAAGTTTAAAGGTGATTAAAGGTGTTATTATATATAAAACACTTAAAATGGTGCCTATGACATAGTAAGTACTCAATAAATACTAGCTAGTCCTGTGGTCGGAAACTGTCTCGAGAGCCACATGTGGCTCTTTGGCACCTTGAGTATGCCTCTTCCACAAAATACCATAGCCTGGCCGAGTCTATTTTGAAGAAGTGGTGTTAGAAGAAGTTTAAGTTTTAAAAATTTGGCTCTCAAAAGAAATTTAATTGTGTACTGTTGATATTTGGCTCTGTTGACTAATGAGTTTGCCGATCACTGAACTAGTCCATCTGGTAAGATGACAGAATGACAATTATAGGTCCAAAATATACTTCCAGCCCTACTTGAAAATTTTATGAGTTATTGGACAAGTCACTCTCTGGGCTCAATTTTCTGTCTGTAAAATGAAGGCCCCAGAGTAGAAAAGTGATCTGTAAAATATTTTCTAGCTTTTGAATTGGGATAAAGGACCAAAAAGACTGAGTGTGTGAATGTTGCCTGACATTATGGGGACAGCTGCTGCTGTGAGAGAGGGTGGAGGTTTGAGAGGCCATCTCGAGAGGGGTCACTGAGGATAAATTTTAGTTTCTTCAGCTTATTTTTCAGAAGGTGAAGATGAGACATTCTTTGTTCAAACTCCTCTTGCCCATTAAGCGTTCAGGTAGGCTTTTAAAACTTTCCCTCAAGTAGTATGGGAACACTTTTAGGTCTTTTGATCTTTACTTTTTGGAGTGGGTGGATCACTGAGGTCCTTCTACAGAAGATCACAATTGAAGCACAAACCGGAATCAAGAGTCCTAGATAAATAGCACAGCAGCTGAGCCAGAAGAGAGGCTCCCTTTGTTTTATTTACTTATTTTTAAATATATTATATTTTATTGATTTTTTTTTTTTAACAAAGAGGAAAGGAGAGGGATAGAGAGTTAGAAACATCCATGAGAGAGAAACATTGATCAGCTGCCTCCTGCACTCCCCCCCCCCCCCCACCCACCCACTGGGGATGTGCCCGAAACCAAGGTGCATGCCCTTGATCGGAATTGAATGTGGGACCCTTCAGTCTGCAAGCTGATGCTCTATCCACTGAGCCAAACCAGTTAGGACTGTTTTATTTTTTTAAAATATATTTTTATTGATTTCAGAGAGGAAGGGAGAGGGAGAGGAGAGAGAGAAACATCAACGGTAAAAGAGAATCATTGATCGGCTGCCTCCTGCACGCCCCCTACTGAGGATCAAGCCAGCAACCCGAGCTTGTGTCCTTGACTGGAATTGAACCTGGGACACTTCAGTGCACAAGCTGATGCTTTACCCACTGAGCTAAACTGGCTAGAGCAGGGAGGCTCCCTTTGGACAAGCTTCCATGTGTGGCCTGCATCTTCTCCCTGGTACATTAGATGTTCACTCTTCCCACAGCAGCCAGCTTCTTGTTCCATTACCAACAGGGAGTTTTGCCTAAATATGGAGCAGGAGACGAGGCCCCCCGTGCTTTTCCCCTCTTTGGCTGTCCTCCTTGCTGACCACAGGCTCCATGGGTCCGTTAAAAAAACTAAAAGCAAAGTGTTACATTCCCCAAAGTATGCCATGGCATAGTTATTCTGTGCTTTCTTCTCTTGACATTAGTACCAAAGAGAATAAGAATGTAAACATCTGTTTTATATAAGCCAATTCCAGACTTATAACCTGATTAGTCTAAGAGAATATTTGATGTGATTAATTTTCCAGTTACAACACGATGGTTTTCCGTCCTTTTATTGCCTTCTTCAGGGAGACAAGAGAAAAAAAACCCTGTATTTTTTATTTTTATTTTTTTTTAGTTTCATAGCAGTGCCAAGTATAACCATTATGGTTGGTGTAAAAGCACGTCTAATTCAATTGCAATAGCAAGTTACGTACCCTGTAGAAATGTGCTAAAGTAAACATAAAATAATCCTGGGCTTCGTTACTTAGAGAACCAGACATTTGGGGAAGGGTCCTTGGGGATAACATCAAGCCTTCTAGTGGATTGCAGGAGGCAGCTACAACAAGGCAGTGACTGTACACTCTACAGCAATCACCTTCACAAGTCTTGTGAAGTCTGTGCCATTCTGGGCTAGGCTTTTTCAGGCCTACGGTGATGAATGGTTACAATCAGGTGATCCCTTGAAACACTTAACTGGTGAGCAATCTTATCTTCTCCAGGCAAGTAGAAAAATTTCCAGGGAGAAAACTGAGTTGGAGCCCTAACCGGTTTGGCTCAGTGGATAGAGCGTCAGCCTGCAGGTGGGATTCGGTCAAGGGCATGTACCTTGGTTACGGGCACAACCCCAGTAAGGGGTGTGCAGGAGGAAGCTGATCGATGTTTCTCTCTCATTGATGTTTCCAGCTCTCTATCTCTCTCCCTTCCTCTCCATAAAAAAAATTATGAAAAAAAATATTTTTAAAAACTGATTTGGAGAGAAGATTTTAATATTGATTTTGCTCTAAATGTGCTGGAGTCCATTAAAAAAAATATTACCTTTTAGTCCTGGCTGGGTGGCTCAGTTGGTTGGGACATGGTCCCACTGCCCAAGGTTGCAGGTCCCATCCCCAGTCAGGGCACATGGGTAGGTAGGTGGTACAAAAAACTGATGTTCCTTTCTATCTCTCCTTCCTCTCTCTAAAAAAAAATAATAATAAATCAATTAATAATAAAAAATACAATATATGTTAAAAATACCTTTTCATATACTCCCCCACCCAAATTTAGCACAAATGCTGAGAGAACATGTACCGAGATATTGTAGTTGAGAGCTAATTTGGTGGCTGTTAGAATGACACGCCGTGCTGCAAAGGTTCCATAGCCTGTTACATGTCCTGCAGGGTCTACCTTTGTGTGTAAATCTCCACTCTAAATCCCCTGCCTCCTAGGATCTTCTAGAAATGCCTAGGTCAGTGATCGGCAAACTCTTTAGTCAACAGAGCCAAATATCAACAGTACAACGACTGAAATTTCTTTTGAGAGCCGAAAGCCGATTTCTGCGCATGAGCCACGAAGTTTCGAGTGCCCGCATGTGGTATTTTGTGGAAGAGCCCCATGTGGCTTGCGAACCACATTACCCTTTGACCAAGGAGGATGGGAGCTGATGGGTAGTTACTTCTTCCCATTCCCCTTTATAGTCTTAAGACACCCAATAGGGCTTTCTGTCAGTTCTAGGGGACCCAGTAACTGGTAGTTTTATAGGAGAGGGCAACGTGGTAACATGCCCTTTCTGGCTCTTCTTTCTTCTCTGCTGCATTTC